AATTCAAAAGGCATAAGCAGTATCAGAGCAATAAAACTATTCTACAGGAAAAGGCACTGAGATCTAAAGATTTATACATATATATTAAAAAAAAAAAAAAGAGTAGAATATAAAGCTAATACAAAAAATTTTGATGGACAATAATCTTAAATGTACTAAAATAAAGATAGTTTATCAAAATATACCAATAAGTAAATTCCAGGCAACAATATTTTTTACAAACTTTTATCTACTGCTTCAAGTTTAATCAGAAAAAAAAAAAGATACTTAATATTTGAACTTTCAAACTAGCATTTCTTCATATAAATAGATGATTCTATCTAATAAGCACTAACATAATTTAAGAGATCTCTCTGAATGCCTAGTTCATTGCAAAATGTATGAATATGGGCAGTCTACAACATTTCTTCCTAACTACATTCACTTTAGCTCCAAAAGTTCCTCCTAAATGAAAGGTTTCCAATTTCAATAGATATAACAAAATATTGATTTTGAGATTATTAATTAACACCTCATTCAGTTTATAAAAACAAGTATAGAAAATAAACCTTCTTACATAATGCAACACAACTGTTTTTTTGTTTTTGTTTTTGTTTTTCCTAATGACATAAGAGACCTAAAATCATCTATAAGGTATTTCTTCTGCCTTCTTAGCATGCCTTCGTGGTGTAGTGGTCAGCACACTCGGCGCATATTCTAGAGTACCATGGTACGAGTCCCTGCGAGGGCATTGCTCATTATCCACTTTTCCTGTTTCAAAATAACCTAATGACTCTACAGTGGTGTCCGAACTAAAAAAGGTGGTGAATGATGATTCTCCACCATCAGGATTTGGCCCCTAATCCTTAGTCGCCCTTTAAAAGAAAATGTATATAAGGTATTTAGCTCGACTTACCTTGACTTGCTTAATTAATTTGCGGTTACTATATTTATAGTATATTCAATTAATTTGGATTACTATATTTATAATAACCCCAAATTAATTGAATAAATCGGATTACTTTATTTTTTTTAACAATAAAAATGATTGTACTGTATTGAGGTTTATGCAAATGAAAATGTTTACCCCAACCGGGGGGTGAAAGGACATATTTCAAAATGCTTTTGTTATTTAGTAGAACTAATGCAAACACCAATTATATCTAAGCTAAATAATAATGATCCACATGTTGTTTTCAAAAGAATCCATACCATACATGGGAATTTTGTGGTAATTTTTAAAAGTATTTTACATCATTATAAAATAAATAAAATATTTCTTTTTAGCAGTAACAGATTAATGATGTTTATAGAGTTTGTATTCTTCCTCCATACCAGGTGCAGAAAGTTTAAGACATTATATCAGCATCAGGACAAAAATCAAGTAATTCATCCAAACAAATATTTAAAAAAAAAAAAAAAAAAAAAAAGTATACAAGGTAAGTATGACATTAAAATTCATAATAAAATAATTAAGATATGAAGCATCAATAAGGATATTAAAAAAACTACAAGTAAATATGGTTATAAAAAATATTTGCCTTTTGTTCAAAATATATAAAACTAAGCACCATCAAACAGTTTGTTATGAAACTAAAAGTGAATTTAAATATTATAAAATGCAAAACAATAAAATTGTTTAAAACAGTATCTATAAATCATAGTGCAGAATCTCTCAAAAAATGATTTTTTTGAGGCATACTTTTATATGGTATAAAAATTATATTACACAAGTTAACATGAAAAAAAAGCCATTTAGTATGCATTTCATATTTCCGTTGTTTTGTTATTGGGAATAATCCACCTTAATTTTAGAAGTGAGAACTTAATTTTTATCACAATACATTTTGTATTATATATTCCCATTACATATGAAATAATTTCAAATGCTTATGCTTCTTATGAGTAAAATGTTTTTTTATTGTGAAATATTTAAACTCATAAGTCAACATTGCTGCAAACATTATATTGCATTAAAATTTTTTAGAAGTATTATAATATATTACTAAATTTATAAGCTAACAGTGCTCAAGCACAACGTATATAGTATATATTTTTAAATCATTAAATGTAAATACACAATTCACTTTTCCAGTACAGTAAAACTCAAAATATATGGGTGAACTGGAACCACAAATCATTCAGACATTTGAAAAAAGCAAATTTAACAACATTGCATCTTTTCTATAGCTAAAAGTACACATTGCCTATTACCAATGTGAGAGTTTTTTTTTTAATTATATTTTATTTTAACAAACACTATGCAGTTAAGAATAAATAAATTTATTTCTGTAAAATAAAATATAAAACATCCTCCAACAAAATTAAACAATGAAATCCTGTTTTCTTTGCTTAAATATATAAATGCTTATGATTTCAACTAAAATAATGAAATTAATTATTATCTATATTCACCCTTAAACTAAATATATAATCTTTTCATTTTTATAGAACTAAAATTAAATAAAGAAACTATTTTTATTTTCATGCACATGCTTTTTGCATTCAATTAAAATACAATTAAGATGTTTCCATTTGCAAAAAATAATGAAATTAAACTATAATGTTTACTTTTTTAAAAAGCTCTTTTATGGCTGAATAATAACCAGCAGAGAACGGCAAGGAGAAACTCAAACTGAATGACACATTCAAATAAATTAATTTAATACATTCTTAAAAAAAGTAGATCGTGTATCATTATCTATTTTTAAATCCCTACAAAATTGAAAATATGCAAACAAATTAACAAGCTCAATTTTATATGTGAACCACATAAATGGAGTTCTATGCAAGGATATGAAAATATAACAAAAATTTTGCTTTCTTTTTAACAGATACATTCATCTTAAAGTATAATAAAATGAATTATGCATAAACATCTAAACCTTTTAAGTCGTTTCTTAATACACGTTACTTGTATGCAATGCATTATTGTGCATAACAGCATTAAAATGTTTTAAAAAATATCAACTCCTTAATTTTTTCTTAAATTTGGGTAAAGATTTGCCTCTAATGCCAAAAATTTATAAATAACCAAGAATTACATCTTTATTTTAATAACTGTTAGAAGTTCACTAGCTTATAGTAATGTTATAGTAAAATCTCAGACAGTTATCAAGAAACCTAATATTTTTCAAGATATTACATTCATGAATAGTAATATTCACATATTCTTATAACAAAATAATTGTTGGGGAGGAAGATCTCCCATTTTGCTTTTGAATAAAGGAAGAAAATTATCTATAAAAACCAAAATAAATATTTTATACAAATCTCAAAATTTCATGCCTAACATAATCCCTATCATTAGCTACAAAATCTTTTTACTCAGGTATCATGGAGCACCAGCAAAAAGACACTTAAAAAACCCTTTTGTATTAGGGCTCAATATACAGACAGATAAAGCAGGAATCTCATGAATAAAAAAAAAAATAAAATTATTTATTTAAATAACAAATATAAAATAACAAGTATATATTATTAAATCGAAAAATGGAATTAGATAGTTTTATATTTGTTATTATTATATATTATTTTATTAATCGTAATATATACAAATGTATGTAATAAAAAGGCTTCATTTTCTAACTTACATATTTCAACTTGTATTATCTATTACACATTATTAGATATTTTATGCTAAACTACAAAACATTTATATAAAAAGCACCATGTATTCACTAAATATTCACTACATATAATCATATATTTCCCTTTGAAAAGAAAGCAGCATATAATATAATACATGAAAATAATTAACAAAAATACATTTTTAATGAAGCTGAATATTTCTTGTGATCAAATTTTACATCACAAAAGTCATGTTTATGCAACAAATTTTATAGTCATCATGTTGCAGAAACAATTCAATGTGAATGCAATTTTATTCCATTTAAAATTAATAATATAGGGCAGATATTAAATACCAAAAAACTAGTAAACAGAAATAAAATTATGAAGAATTATTTATAAAGATATATTTTGCAATTCCTAAATGATAAATATGCTGTCCTATCATTCAGACTATATAAAGTATTCCCATTTATTTCTAAGCACCACAATATTAAACATAATAATTTTGACATAACATTACAAAATTAGTTTTTGAAAAAATTATATATAAATGTTTTTATATAGGTTTCCAATAAGTAAAAGTTTTAGTAAAATAATAGAAAACCAACAAATAATCCCCAAATGTATATAAAAACCTTTTAAACAATCAGAGAGATTAATAGATTAATATGCATGTTTCCCATGCCAGAATATTGTGATTATTAAAGTGATATATTTGGTGGTTTTTAAAAAGAACTCAACACAATAAACTCATCATTAAATCATAAAAAACAGTTAAGCAGAAAGAAATTTTCTGTGAAATATTAAACGGAATATTTGCCACAGTAAATACCAATGAAAGCTTTCAACATAAGATTCCACAAACTACTTTTTATTTTATTAATGAGCTTTATGGTGAGGAAATAATGGACTTCAGTTTTCACAGGGAAAAAAATATGACAAACCAAACATGCAATGGGACACACGCATGAAAAAAAAAAAAAAAACATTAATGAAAAACGACAGGGTTTAAAATGGGATTTAAATCTTTTAATTTTGCTGATATCATTACATAATGCTTGTCTAAGGTTAAATTTTAAGTAGAAAAAGGTTTGTTTCCTGCAATAAACAAAACAGGAACTCGAAGAAAATGTTTCAACTCAAGCAGATCTCTTATTAACTTATTAACACCTACTTAATTTTTATTTCCCAAACCAATCATTTCATCTTTCATACCTGTTTTATCTGCCACTTTAAAATGTTAGTCTATATTTCACTTATTTATTTCAATTAACAATGAATGGGGAAGTAATACTTTTAAATGTTAGGTATAAAATGTTTAAAATATAAATGAGTTTGAGAACAGATTTGATATATGATGCAATTTTAGATTGTTGAGTTTATATATCAAATTGATTTTAAAATTTAAATGCATGCAAAAATAACAAAAACTAAATTAAGAAAAGAAATAAGTGTAATAAAATTTTATTTTCCACACACTACAAAAAAAAATTATTCACAAATAAAAGAATTTAACAAAAATAATACATAATGTTGAGTAAAGTTAAATTTCTTATTTCAAAAGCTAATGCACAATTGTATCACTCAAATGATTTTGTAAAGAAGGTTTATACAAGTTTATCACATTTTTCATTGATATTCACTTTCATTTGGAGAAATACAATGCATGTAAACTGTTTAGGGAGGGATGGAAACTGGATTAAACTTAATTGGTAAAAATACTGAATTATATTCATGGAAGATATATAAAAATAGTCAAGATCTAAGTTCTGAAAGACAATGTAACAAACAAAAACTTTCTTTACCACTGGTTTTATTAACTAAATCTAAAAACTTTTTATAACTACCAAATTAAGATAATTCAACAAGTAGATAAAAAATTTGAGAGAAATAACTTATTAACATTTCAAAACAAGAAAAGTTTTTCTAAAATAATCATCCAGTGTTCTAGATAATGCTCAATGCAATTATTTAATATTATTTTCAGAAATACTCATCACTTTGATAGGTGTTCATCTTAAAAAGAGAGTTGCTGTGAAATGTTATAGTGTATATATACATAACACTTACGAAAAAAGTAAAACTAAAGCTGATCTGGCAGAACTTCCACAGACTAACTTTATTCAATACAAATTTTCACATATTTCGACACAATTTTAAATTAGAAAAAAAATAATAGGAAGCTATTTAAGATGATTTAATTTTTCAAATACTTGTAAAATTTACGAAAAAAAGTTACAAAAGAAAATATGAAACTTCTCATTTAGTTTTGACTAAAAATATATTATGATAAATAATGGGAACAAAGATAACTGATATTTCTGCACATATACAATACCAGCAATAATGTAACTTTGATACAGCCATCACATTCACCAAATTTCAGTATTTATTACACTAAACCACATATGAATTCATTAAGGCAAATGAAAAAAAAAAATATTATTTACTTTAAGTTGAGTAAATGCAATGGTTAAAGAGCAATTAATGGCTTATACTCCATGAGCTCAAATTAAATATATGAATTTCAAAATTTCAATAAATAATTAGTTGATAATTATTTCACAAGTAAAATAATGGGAAAAATTATATTAATTATACATATTAACACAGGTAGATAAAAATCACAAATCCATGTATGTATCAATCATCAGAAATGTAACTGAAAATTAATTCTTAACATTTTTGTTTAGCAGATTTTTATGAGAAAGAATAAATAATCCTTTGTAAAATATTATGATGCAATTTTACTTCAAAGCATTTCATATCATTTAAATATTATCATATGATATTACTTAAAATGCAGCTATACCAGTAAAAAATTGAATATGAATTTTATTTTCAGAATACTTTTTTTGCACAAAACACCAGTTTAGAAAATAAAAGATTATTAGCATTCTTAATACCAATAACTAATGATTCAGTCCTTAAAAAATGAGCAATGTATATCACTGACCAGAATATTTACATAATATAGAACAAAATCAAAACCTAGGGAAATCAGCAACATAGAAAGACTTTATCAAACTTTGATGGAGGGGGGGAACACAACAGATAATTGAAGCAGAATATATATATAAACATGAATTTTACAACATTCATAATAGTTACTCAAATGCTTTAATGACTAATGAATGAAATTTGATCTATATGGAAGATATATAACTTATGAGCAATTAAAGCAACTGCGTTTGAAATATGGAAGACAAAGACAAATAAATATGAGATAGAGAACAAAGTGCAAATGCTGAATAACAACTTCTGTTCTCAGATGACACACAGAGTAGTAATAAATAAATAACCTAAATATGGCTTAGTAATAAGACAGTACATAATTTTATAACAGTTAAAATCTTTTCACTTGAACAAACAGACCAAGGAATGCCACATTAGGAAAATTTAGGTCAATGGATAATATATAAATCAAATATAATTATGATCAAACATCAATAAAACTTAATCAAATTTCTAACATTCAAATAAAATCTCAAAATCTAAAATATTAAGTACTGACTATGAGCATAAGCAGATCCAGTTGAAAGAAAGAAGCTAAATAAAATTTCTTAATTCAATTTAATCTATCATAACAGAACTATGAGAAAGTTCCCACATGCTTAATTGCATTACATAAACTTATGACAGTATTTACTAACAGACCTAATAATATTTTTCTCAAATAAGGCATAAAACACAAAACTGTGCAATAAAAGTCATAACTCGATTAAGACTATATTCATCAATATTTCAGTCATATAAACCATTATAACTACCAGTGATGATTTAAAAACTGAAGATTAAAAATGTGTAATATATATAGATATATAAATTTAATAGTATGCAAAAAAATACATTACACTTAATTTTCTCTCTAAAACACTCACTGTTTTTAATTTTAATCAATGGAAAACAAGCAAGAGTTTCTTTGTGATATCATTCATTCTTTCATAACTTTCCTTTATTTTTACCTGAGACAATATCAAAATAAAATTACGGTTACAAAATTAGGTAAAGGTTATTAGTTTGTGAAATTATATTTTTACATTAAAAGTTATGCAACAAATAATAGCTATATTTTAGTTACCTTGAGGTAAAGATTTTTTTAAAGTATGAAATCTCATCTTTTAAGCAAAACATAATTTGTACGGGATGCATATTTTAGAAATCTCACACGCAAAATTCACACATCACTATTTTAAAAATTTTCTCTTTTTTCAATTTAACATTTATTTAAAACAGATGTGGGCGCTTTCATGAATTTTAACAAAATATGACATATTTGAAATATTATGTAAAACATACATATCCAATAAATATACAGAAACTGTCCAATAAATGTAGATGTAAGTAAAATGCATTTTGCAGCACAATATTAAAATGCTAGTTTTTTAAAATATCAATTCTTTCCTTCACTATTACCTGGATCCACCAATCACAATAAAATAAAATTGAAAATTTATAAACTGTCCTTTATCTTACACATCACAGACTTCCATTCTCTTTATTGATGTTATTGCTTTTTTCACAACTGATACTTTGTTTATTATTATACCTCCACGTAAAATTGCGTTCCCAAAATCCTTTAGACTTTTCTTTGTTTGATTCATTTAGTGCATTGATGCTTTCATCCATAATTTCAGAGTTGGTGTATGGTGTTTTAGTTATGCCATTTGACAAAGTCTCTACTGCAGAACTAGTAGCATCCTCATCACGAAACATTTCGGCCCACACCGGACAATGCTTGCTGACAGAGCCACCCCATTTCCAGCCATCAGGGATTGCTAAATGACTAAGGCCTTCAGAAACTACACCACTTTGACCTGTTTAAAAACAATTTATAATTATATATATGAATGCTAAACAATCCAAATATAATACATTATTCTTGGAAAGTTTTTAGTTTCTTCTGATATGTAAAAAACAAAACAAAACTCAACTGGAATTAAAAAGATATGATTAATAAAGTTGTCATTTTCTGGAATATATTAGGGTTGGATGATATCATGCTGATCAAATTAAAAACTAAAATAAATTTCTCATAAAATTAAAATTAAAAAATTATATATAATACATAATTTTAAAAAATGATAAAAAATTTATTTTAATGTTTAGAAAATAGGATAACAGCTATAATTTGGGAATTTGATTAAATAACTCTGAAAAGGTATGCAAATGCCTGTTTATCTAAGAAGAATGCCTTTATGGAGAAGTCTGTGAAAGAAAATTTTTATGTCACATTCCACAAAAAATCATAAAAGCCCATCTAGTCAAGTCTTTTTGTCTGCTGGAAACTGAAGCCAGAATGAACTAGCAAAGTTAAATGGTTTCAGCTACATATCATCTGCCAGGTCATATGCAGTTTAAATTATTTTATCTACATTCAATTTCTACAATGTTACTTTTTACAACACACAAATTTTAAGCAATGTAGTAATGACTAGTTAGTTCATACCATCCATGAGATGCACAGAAAGATAGATACATCTATAACTTGATTGACAAAACGATTCTCAGAATAGACAGATGCATCTCCATTTATATGTAATTATTATCACAGTTAATAAAAAAATTAAATTACAAATCCATTTTTAGGTATGAAAAATGATTTCATTCCATCTTCTTTTTCCACAGAATATTACAGTCAGCATTCTGTTTACCTATTATTATATGACATCTGTCTTACATAAGTGGTTGATGACAAATACAAGTAAAATTAGAAATTTTAATTATTCAGTACTGGTAAACTGGTTTTTCAAGTTACAATTCACCACAAAGGGCTCCCGTTCCTTGATTTTTGGATTCATTTCCTTCCTTTTCTCCACAATAAAAGTCACTGAAAATAGTATATATTTTAATAATTGCTAATAATGTTCTTATGGTCCATTTTCAAATACTATGATCAATTTCAGTACTTTCTTTTTACAACAGCCACCTTAGACCATTGTCAAAATTGGAAGATTAGTCATCAGCAGTCTTAATCACCAGATTTTTAACATGCAATGCATTTGATTTTCAGATTGCTTTAATTATGGTGTTATCCAGGTCATATCATAGATCTAATATTTCTCTCTTTCTGATAAAATTTTTACCATTTTAAAGTTTTAATCAACTACAGAAGAAGCAGTAATTTTTTGTGATATCAATAACGTGAAAAAAATTTTCTTTTTATGCTTACTTTAGAATATGGGATAGCATTCATTAATTTTCTCTCTAAAACACTCACTGTTTTTAATTTTAATCAATGGAAAATAAGCAATAGTTTCTTTGTGATATCATTCATTCTTTCATAACTTTCCTTTATTTTTACCTGAGAGAAAGTGCAACAAATAGCCACGAAATGAAATTATTTATTGGAAAGTAATATATCTGGAGATATAATGGGAAAAAATGCACAAGGAAAAAGAAGTGATACTGTCTTTATATCAGTAATTGGTATCATGTTTCAGGATATCTTTCCTTACTGCTTAGTGCTTTATTTACTGCTGGGTTGAAGAACTAATTATCATTTGATGGTACAACAGACAGTTGAATTTGAGTGAAAACAGCAATTGATTGGAACAGCTATGTGGGAGAATTTTTTTGCTTATTTTTTACCTAACAATTGAAACAGAAAATTAGCAGACCTGAAAAAAATCATCAAGATTGATGAAGATTAAGTGAAACAACAACACCAGCAAAGTTTTATTGAAACAATGAGGTTTTGAAGAATCTTCAATCTTATGCAAATGCCAGACAGGCACCAAAATTCGATTGAAGATTATAAAAGAACATGTAAATGAAGGAAGTGCAATACATTCAGATTGCTGGCCAGCAATTAATTAGAAAAGACGATTTTCAATATATTATAGTGAATCATATATACAACTTTGTAGATCCATCTGGCTCAAATACACAGAAAATCAAACAACTCTGGTGTACGGCCAAACGATGAAACGAAAGAAAAAGGAGGAATGGCTTGCCAACAGTTAGCTTCATATTTAGAAGAATTTATGTGGTTGAAAGATGTAGTACAGAAGAAAGTATCTGATTCAATAATAGCAGCAAATGTCAAATTATAGAGATAAATAAATATTATTTCCAACCCTCACATTACAGTTTTCACTTTTAGAAGGTTCCTAAGTGTTTTCTAATTTTTGCCAAATTAGTTATATTTTGAAACTCATCTGATATATTTGAGTTAGCTGTTTTTCCATTTCCCTTTATGAAAAGAAGTGATTTAAGAACTTGTGGGTAACTCAAAGACAAAGAAAAAGCCTATAAACAAACAGTTCTTTTCACAGCCTAAAATGTAGTCTTAATGATTAAGATATACAATAACAGGCCAAACAAATATTAATTTAGAAGTCAAACAACAAAAGTCAGCATTATATTTTCAAATTTTCACAGGACTAGTTCGATGGTTTTACCAAATCATCATCCTCAGCTGCAAAAGCGCTTTTGCAGGTGAGGATGACTCTTTTGCAGCTGAGAATGATGATTTGGAACCATCGAACTAGTCATGAAAATGATAAGATATGCTGCTTTTGGTTTGACTTTTGAAATAATATGTATAGTCAACGGTCAAAAATAAATTAACAGTCTAATTAACGAATGATAAAAATACTACTAATTCAGAAAAAAAGCATTTTAAATATTAATAATAATTATAAACATTTTAAATAATTCAAAAGCATGGGATAGATAAAGTGGACCTATAAAAAATAACCATGGATCATTAATTTCAAAATGAAATGATACAAATTTTATTTATTTATTTTTTTCATTTATTCTCTTTATTAAAAACAACAAGATTTATGACAAAGATACTTGAATTTGGCAAGCAGCTGCTGGATTTTTTTTAAAATACATTTGGAAACAATTTTTTTAATCTATCACAATAATACTATTAAAGCAAAAGGAGCATAATTTTGCATCCTGCCTTTTCACTGATAGCATACAGAATTTTAATTTCAAAGCAATTTTGCACTGCAAAAATTTAAAATATGAAACCTATTCATTTCTAATTCATAAATCAAAGTTTCTGATAGAAATGAAAAAGTTTTGTGTTTCTCATCTTAATTATATGACATAAATAAATATATTTACCGGTATATATTTTTCGAACATTCATGCTAGACCATATGTGACTTTCTTCTTGCCAATTGCCATTATTTACTGAAGTTTCAATGGGTATTAAATTGGTATAGCCTTGACTATTCAGCACTTCAAACACTGCAAGATTTGTTTCAAATATTAAATTTACATTTCACCTTTCTATACAAAACTATACAAAACAGTATATCTTATACTTAAGATGAAGACTAAGATAATTTAATTATATATTATTTTCAATATTTTCAAATAAAATATTTACATAAAAGTCAATGACTGTTCAAGTGCTCAGGGATACAAATTTAAACAGCATTAAGATTCAATTTCAAGAAAATATAGTTTCATGAAAGTTTAAAACTTCCAATACTTTATTATATTTAGTATAAATCAGTTTTCATATATAAAAGACATTACAATTAAATATAAAGAATATGGCAATCTGAACACTTGAATTAAAAAAAATATTAGCATATCAGAAGTGATAAAACTGCAAAGCATAACCTAATTCATGTAATAGCTCTTAACTATCTAATTAATATTAACTTTATTTAATTCAATATTTTGTTCTTGTAACATTTATTTACTATATCAAAAATTAATAAATTTGCGATTTTCTATATGAATGAAAGAAATGCACACATTAAACTTTCTAAAGAAAGCAATAAGCCAACCATTCAGATTTTTAGTTAATGCTAACAGTTCCCAATATTCTAAAAATCAGATTTTGTTTTCATATTTTATTTATTACTGTGGCAAAACTAACAATATGCTGTTTTAAGAAAAACATAAACATAAACTCACCTTTCAAAAATATTTTCAGATTAATTATAAATCCTTCTCCAGCTACACAAAAACAAATAAAATATTGTGTCATTTGAAAAGTTCGGAGGGTTTTCACCATGAAGCACATTGTCTTCTAATTATATTGTTACTGCTGATATGGAGTAACCTTGATTGAAGCAGATGTTTAAGGTCTTTTCTACTCAAGGTATATAATTCTAGAGTATGTTGTTGCTCATAATGTTTGTTTCAGAATAATGCTAATAGTGAACCTAAATGTTTATTTTTGTCATAGTATGCTCTTTTACTTTGGAAAAGGAAAAAATGCTAGTCAGACTACTTCTAAAATTTTTGCTACGATAGGGGAAAAAAAGCTGTTTCTGATTATGCAGTTTGAAAGGATTTGAGAAGTGTAGAAATTTTAATGGTGAAGATTATGACTATTCTAGACAAGGGCAATCCCCCCAAAAAAAAAGGTCTCCTATATTTTTAGATATACAAAGAACCATTTATTTTCTATAATTGCTACATCACTTTAAAGATTGAAGAATGCTTTATTTTTCAACATAATCGCCATTTCGGTCGATGCACTTTGGTAGACGCTGTGGCAGTTTTACAATGCCCATGTCATACCAGCTTGCCGCCATGCCCTTCAGGAAGCGTTGAGGAGCTTCAGGAGCATCCAGATGATCCTCCGATCTTTACGCATTTTACGAACTCAATAATCGCAAACTCAACGAATACGAACTCTCGTCGGCAATTGACGGCCTCCCGCTCCTTTCTTCATCATGAATTTCAGTACGACTGGCTGTAAACTCTCTACACCACTTGCGAACGTTTTTGACATCCATGCACGACTGTCCATACACTTCTGTCAACAGACGATGAATTTCAACCGGTTTAACGCCTTTTGCGTTTAAAAATTGAATAACTGCGCGCACTTCGCTCTTGGCGGTAACGTTTATCGGGAGATCTATTTCGAATGGCTGCCAAGCCAAGACTGAGCATCCGAGCGAAGCGCCTGCATGCTTATGTGGTAGCGGAGAAGGCACCACTCACAACAGTGTTGCCAACAACCGTATTAAAACTTTCTCTACGTCCCCAAAAAATAGGAGACCTTTTTTTTGGGATTGCCCTCTTGTAGAAGTTAGAGCTGAAAATCCACATTATACAGCTCAGGAACTATCAGACTCAATATTTCAAAAAATACAGTACATGATGATATGAAAAGACTGGATATGCAAGTTGCTATGATGTTTGGCTACACAGCAGAATATTTCTGCCTGAGCTTCGGCATGTGATTCTTTGCTGAAAAAAATTAACAAAGGCAAATTTTTTAACTGGCTCATTACTGGAGTTGAGAAGTGGATACTATAGAATAATGTTACAAGAAAAGGATCATAGTATAAGCCTAAAATTCTCCAGATTTGCATCCCCAAAAAATAATGCTTTATATATGGTCAGACTACAAAGGAACTGTATTAATATGAACTGTTGTCACCAAATCAGACAATAAATTTGAAAAAGTTTTCTATAGACAATTTTAAAAGCAGAAATCAAAGCAAAATATCCAGAACTGACCAATCATCAATGTGTTGTGTTCCTTCATGACAACGTGTGGCCCCACATTTTAATGAATATCAAAGACTGAGTATGTTAGAGAAGTTTTGCATCATCCCTCATATTCACTACATCTTGCCCCTTCAGATTTTCATCTCATCAGACAAACTCACTATCTCTGAAGAACCTGGAGTTCATTTCTTTGCAGACTATCAAACAACACATTGACAACATCTTTACGAATATACCTGATGACTTGAAAAAATATTTAAAAAAACACAAATTCTTACAATCTAATGCTTAGTTAATTAATTACAATAACAATAAACTACATTTGATCATTATTGCAGTGAATTAAGCACAGTGGAATGCTATATACTTTAGTTCCTCAAGCTGCATACAGTTACTTCTCTCAAAAATATAAAATTTACATGTTACATAGATGCCTTAGTTAATAATTATTTCTTTATAATTATGATTCAAATGTGCCATAAAATATTAATTTTATTATGTTCTTTCAAAATAAGCAAATGCATACTAAACAAACAAAAAAGGATGGGAATTCAAGCATCCATTTCATAATTTCAGACCAGTGATTTTTAATATGCCATAAAAAACTATTAAAGTGTTCATTAAAGAAGGGCTTGAATTTAGAATTACAATTTAACATAATGAAATTGAAAAAAAAAAAAAAAAAAGTTATATTACTACAAATGAACATTTGAATAACTCAGGAGCTAAACCAAATTTCAAAGTTGCAAAAATCTGAGTATAATTTTTAACTTTTCCAGCACTCTTTACAGAATACAGAACATACAGAATTCAAAACAGTGGATTAATGCATCTTACACAGTTTATGTAAATAAAACATTTTACAGAAATTAAACACTATTCAGTACTATTATGTATTCAGTATTACTTATTATCAAGTATTTCAGTATATTTATTTATATCAAAATTATAAAAAATAAAATATTGTTAATTATAATATTTTGGTACATTTCACTTACCAGTATGACCAGGAGGTAAGATGAAGTCTCCAATGAGGAAGACATTCTTATTTCCTAGAAATAGTTAAAAAGGTCTTAGAAAAAAACATCACAGACAGTATCTATAAGAACTTAAAAATTAGTTTCATTATGTATTTTTAGACAGATCACCTATACGAAATTAAGTTATTAGACTTAGATAACAAGATTTTGCAATTGGTAAGTAATACACAGCATTCAGAGGAAAGTAACCAGACATTCAGATTCTGTGATGCAATACTAATTAAGTTTCACATGTGATGTCCTCTTTAGCGTAGGGCCAGAATTATGTAAATATTCCTGGATTTCATAAACAGTAACTATGATTTAAAAATTAATGCTGCTCCATAAAATTTATTCTAGGATATCAGAATAATGACACATTTAATAATCAAACATGTGTTCTAAAAGCAAGTTTTAGGGAACTGACATAACCCAAAAAAAAAAAAAAAAAAAAAAAAAAAAAAAAAACAAAAAAAAAAAAAAAAAAAAAAAAGAGTTTGAGAAAGATTGTAAGAGTTTCTGCACAAAATGCATTTCATATTTAGAAAAATTGATAGCATAATTAAATCATATACAGTATTTTAAACGGATCACTAAAAATCATAGTAGAATGAAAAAAACTTGAATAAAATAAACTGATGAGTGATAATTTTCTGGGAACAAATTATTCAATGAATTACTATATTCAGAGCAATACACTACATCTGGAAGATTAAATGACAGTCCAAGCTTATCAGCATGCAAATGATAAGTCTGTTAGGCATTGGTAGTTTTTCCTGGCTTCAGCTGCCTGTGTGGGATTTGCATGTTTTTTCCAGAAGAGTAATGCTGCTTCATAGTTTTCCTCAAAAAATACTCACAGATACATTCCTCTCAAGGCAGATAGCCTCACATACATAAAGTCAATTAATTAACTAATAAACAACTATCTTATTCTGAAATTGAAATGGAACATATCTGAATTTTATTTTGTTACATTGTACAATGAAATGTCGATATGATTGATTATACTAATTGCTTGAATTATAACATTATGCTTTAAACACATTTCTTTACTTTTAATCCCCCAAAATGTATTATCCTGGACTGACTGTGAATAAATTTGGTCACTTCAGATTCTAAACATAATTTATTAATTACAATAATGCTAGAAATTTTTATAACAACCATCAGTTGGATACATAACAAATTACAACAATTACAGATATTATTAAAATTTAAATTAAAATACATAACTCATAAAGAAATGTTTTTACTGCTTTTAAACCTTCTCATTTTAAGCAATTATTATTAAAATTCGACAGATTTAAATTTTAACAGCTAATGAAATATCATATGACAACCACAGAACTAACAGTTTGCCAGATAATAAATATATTAGAGTAACAAAAATGTAATGCAACATTTAGTTCCCAAATCTGAAAAGACAATGTTTAAAATGTTGAAAACACTCAAAATATTCTTCCTTTTTAACAAATTAACTTTGCTAACTATGTTACATATTAATATTTCCCAAAAGTAAATAAACAAACAATATGCTAAATGTTACAAAGCTTGTGTTAAATATTATGAAGCCATGAAATCTAAAAACTTTAAATTTTGATTAATTACAAGCAGAATTGAAATTATAATAAAAAAATGCAGCTGATTTTTAGGGTGCAGTTCAAACTTCCAAAAATAATGAACTTAGAAGAAGTTTAATTTGACTGACAATGTTAAAAATAAATTTATGTAAAACCTTCAACTGCTGAAAATATTTAGAAATTCCAAGTCTTTGTTACATGCAGCATAAACATTTTGATTATTTAATGGCAATATTTTAATCATTTGTATAAGGAAACTAATATGGTTCTTTAATACAATTAATATATATAATTAAATTATATTTCTTTATATCTTAATTTTTGTAGAAGCTTCACTTTATAAAATTATAAAATTTTACTATGAAATCTATAATTATGGGAACAGAGATGATTTAAAAAAAAAATTCAAAGACCCTGAATTAAAGAGATAATAGTGATTTTAAAAGCTAGCTTATTAAAACTATAAACACAAATAAATCTTTATATGAAATTTTTTTATGAAATCTGTTACACTCTTAATGCATGATTCTATGAAGGATTACGATTATTTAGATTATGGCAAAGCCCTCTAGAGCTCATTTTAGCAGAAACGGCTTGTATTCATATTACACCTGGGGAGAATGAACAGGCAGACTTCCTATTCACCGGAATTTGAATCCATGTCAAACAAACAAATGCTAAGGAGTTTTACTGCTAGGCCACCATTGGCACTTTATTATAGGAAGTCTTTATAATGTTACTGTTCTTATAATTTATTCATACTATTATTTGATTCCCTTTATTTCTATAGTTATGGGATGGTAAATTCTTTTTACATGTATCGTTTGATTGAAAATTGCATTATATATCTTTTAAGCATTCCAGAATTACTTTAAGAGGAAATTTGCAACTGAAAAAATATCTAAGGAGTAATATTTCCTACTGCAAAAAATAATTTCACAAAAAGTGAATTTTTTTTTTAAAAATAAAATACAGTCAAAAGTCGTTAATTTGGACACCCATAATCCGGACCTCAAAGCTAAAATCTTTCTGCGCATGCGCCGCCTTGACACATGCGCATAGGCGTTTATGCATGCGCGTAAGACCGTACGACTGCACATATGCATGGGCGCAAGTGCAGAATACGTTTTCGCGTGCGCGTTTAATGTATATATAACGGACGGTATAAGCAAAATTATCTAATTATCTATTTCAGTTAATGTTGATAATTGCGTTGTTCCTTAATCATCGAACTGGATCCGGCTTATTACTTTTTTCAGACTGTAAGAGCAATTTTATAAAAGTAAACTTAAACTTTCGATTATGTCAAATAGAATTTCCGATGCTGGAGCTCCCAAAGGATCTACAAAACAAAAGTATGTTTCGATGTCCATCAAACAAAAAGTGGAATTGCTGCAAAAAATGGATAAAGACATGAAGAAGGTGACAGAGAGGTTAGTGAAAACGAAAAAATTTCGATTGACAAGTTAGTCCGTATTCTCGGCACAGCAATTACGGGACTTGAACAGCAGAACTTTGTAACTGAACAAGAAATTATGTCTGTTTATAGAATTAAAGAGAAAGTATTATCACATAAAACAAAGCAACTTAAATAACTTACATTGAAAGAAATGTTTAATAAAGTAAACAAATAAATATTAAGCTTTTTTTTTTTTTTTTTTTTTTTTTTATAAATTTTGATACCCTTTAGATCATAAACGATACATGTAAAAGAATTTAATTAAAATAATAAATTATGGTTTTCATATTTTTAATTTTAAAATTTCTGCATGCCATCTTACGAGATTTAAACTGATAATCTATAATCCGGAAAAATCGATAATCCGGAATCGCCGAAGTACCAACGAGTCCGGATGAACGACTTTTGACTGTAGTTAAATAATTATTTTTCAAAAATTAAGATATGAATATCTCACTTTTTAAGAATATATTCTTTAACTTAGATCTCAGATTTAGAAAGATATACAGTGACCAACAAAAAAAATGCAGCATCATGAAACACTTGGTGGAATGTGATGTGAACTGATACCCAGACAGAACATGCATATGTGAATAAATTATGTTATTTATAGAAAGATAAATTTATTCAGTACTCAAATATATCGGGATTCAGTAAGATATGTGACCATCTAATAATAATTCATAACAATTCAAGCTACATTCATAATTCAATAATTAACATTCAACAATAGAATTCACAACAATTCAAGCAGCAATCCTATGAAGTACAGATTCAAATAGTGATCTGAGGAATGGAAGCCCATTTACTCTGAACCCTTCTTCAAGGTTTGTCCTCCAATAATGGCTGAATGCAGAGCACACAAGCAGCGTCCAATCATGCCCCAGGTATGCTCAATTGGTGAAAGATCAGGGGGCATTGCAAGACAAGGAAGCAATGGGACATGCTGCAAGGCATGTTGGCTAACAAAGGCTGTGTGCAGGGTAATGTTGTCCTACTGAAAGTAGAATTTTGTAGCTGCTACAGGTAAGGTAGCACAACCAACTGCAGTGCCATCAATGTGCCTCTGATATGCAACAGAGATGACCTGCTATCATGACAGATGGCACGGCAAACTATTATGTCACGCTGACAAGCGGCGTGGCGTTCAGCAGTAATAGGCAGATTAGCTCTATCTCCCTGACACCTCCAGACTCTTAACCAGTGACTATCATCAGTCAAACAAAAGTGAGACGTGTTGCTAAATGCCACACTGTGGCATTCAGTTGTCCAAATGGCTCATTGATTACATCATCATAATCTTTTGAGTCAGGATGGTTTGGTGTTGATGGCAGATTTCACAAAGGGTGGCCTATGTGCAAGCTGCTTTTAGCTAATTATTGATAACTGCTCTTCCAGATATTACAGCATCCGAAGCTCCTTGCACCATTCTGCAAAATGTCCATAGTAGTCGATTGTGGGGCTGCCATTGATTCTCTTCATATGCGTTGATCTGTGCGTTTTGTTGTATGTCTAGATGAGCCAGGTCTTTCACGAGTATTTACATTTCCTTCAATGATCCATCTAAATTTTAATTCTATGTACAAAGGATACACATATGTCGATCCATCTAAATTTAATTCTATGTACAGTGGATACACATATGTGAATTTTAGCGGCAATATGACAGTAAGACCAACTAGCCTTATGCAAGCCTGCAATTTGACCCCATGTAAAATCGTCTGGGCATATATAAGCTTACCTAGATAACAAACTAATTTTTGGGTTATGTTTTTATTAAGATTTAATGCTGTAAAGACTTTAAATTATTATTTAAGTTTTTTGTTTCAGACATAAAAAATGTAATTTTGTTCTATTAGTGATATATGCAATGTATAATAGATGTACTTTCCAAAAAAATTTATAACATGAACTACTAGTACATTTTTAAAATTTTAAGGAATAGCAAATATAATTATGCATTTTAAAATTTTTAAAAATCATAATTGCTAATTTAAAAAAAATTATCTGAAACTATGCAAAAATTTAATCAAACTTTTCAAAACACATTTATATCTGAATCTCTGAATAGCTTAAGTCAACATTTACAGAAGCAAAATCTGATGTCATTCCCAATGGAAAATGTTTATGTGATGCAAAAGACATTGCTGCTCTAATGGTACACAGTCAAAAGTCGTTAATCCAGACTCGTCGGGACTTCGGCGATTCCAGATTAAGGATCATCAGTTTAAATCTGGTAAGATGGCATGCAGAAATTATAAAATTAAAAATATGAAACCATAATTTATGAAATAAAGAACAATTATGATCTAAAGGGTATCAAAATTTACAAAAAAAAAAAAAGCTTAATATTTATTTGTTTACTTTATTAAACATTTCTTTCAATGTAAGTTGTTTAAGTTGCTTCATTTTATGTGATAATACTTTCTCTTTAATTCTATAAACAGACATAATTTCTTGTTCAGTTACAAAGTTCCGCTGTTGAAGTCCTATAAGTGCTGTGTCGAGAATACCGACTAATTTGTCAATCGAAATTTCTTCGTTTTCAAAAACCTCTGTGTCACTTTCTTCACTATCGGAAGCAAATTATAATGATGAAGAATTTGGTTTAAATCATATCAAAGACAGAGTACATCAAGATGAAATACTACATTTAGTAAGGAATTATAAGCCAAATAAAAACATCTGCCCTGAAGATAAGGATAGTGCTGACAGATCAACTTCCAATACATTGCGCGCCGCGGCGTAGAAAACCAGACATATAGATATACTACTGCAACTATTTAAAAGCAGAAAACGTCAATACGATACCTTGTATTCTTTCTTTCAGTTGTTCTAATATGGAAGGTAATAACTTGATTACACAGCTTTCAGATATTAAACTAAAAGTGACAACAGTAAAATCCATATTTTCAACCTGCAAGGAAATATGATTACGTTTCAAATGCAAGATACAATGTTAGAAGACAGTTCATACACTGTGATTATTAAAATATTGCTTCTTTCTGATTATCCACAACTCCCAAAAAGGCTTCACAAGGCAACTTACTATATCACTAATTTATGCAATCTGCGACAACAAAAATTTCACAACCCAGAAGTGCATTGGTATGCAGCAGATGAACGAAGATTTCCATCTTAAATTTCAATGGTAATTTTCCTGATTAATGTTTGTTTTTGCTCTCATCAGGAATCACAATAGGACTGTGGAGTTTGTCAAGTGATGAAAAAGAGAGTTGCATTTTTTTCAGAAAATGACATTTTGATCAATAATAAAGAATGCAAAATTTTTACATAAAGTTGTACTTCTTAAATGATTGAATTTTATGGCTTAAAATTTGTACGTGACATTAAACTGATTTTTTTTTTTTTTTTTTTAAATCAAAAGCAGATCACTGTGCACATGCGGAGAACAAAAGCATGCACAATGCCGAAAACAGATTATTGTGTACATTTGCACAGTGAAAAAAATTACATAATTCCTTGCAAAAGTGTTTTATTACAGACATTTCTTGCTTTTAAATTTTACTGATTCATTGCTCTTTTAAGGAATTCTCAGCACTCTGCCATTTTCAGAATGGCTATTGCCTTTAAGGTTTAGCTTGGTGAAAAATTAGTCAACTCATTAACAACTTTTTATAGGGATAATCAGAAACTCTATTTTAGATATTTAATGAAAATGGTTCTATACATTTACTTTATTCGTGTTTAAGGATTGCCTTGGAAAAACTAAATGATTAGTGAAAAATTAAAAAAAAAAAAAAAAAAAAAAAAAATCAAGCATCTTTAATTTTGGCAATAAATCCAAAATTACATTCAAATAAAAGAGTAAAATTGTATAAAAAAAATTGAGAAAGAATGTATTTTGATGATGTTTGCATTAGATGGTGACAATATAAAGATGCAAATACTTTGCAAAACCACATCAAACTAAAGAGAAAGGCCTTTTAGGATTAAGTCTTGAATGAAATATTGCTGAAGTCACATAATTATACTATTTTATTTCATACCTGTATTACAGAAAGCAACAAAACATATATACAGCTTTCTCCTGAATAAGAAAATTCAGAACAATAACAATATATAATAATAATAATAATAATTTTAATAATAAATAAATAAAATAAAATAAAATAAAATAAATAAACTTATTAGATTTTTGATGTACAGATGACATTAAAAAAACAAAATAAAACTAATGCTAGCAATACTTATTTAAGAAATTACATATGAAGGAGAACATATGTATGATTCCCCACTGCGCAATTCTAAGTTACAGTTGAAAGTGAAGAATCTTAAGAACTAATAAGCGAATAATTGCTTGAGTTTGTGTACAGGAAACAACAAGTAAGAAGGGTGAAATAACCTTTTATTATTCCAATTAAAGTTTAACAAAGCTCCACCTTGGAATTGTACAATTAAGCTGACACTTGGGCTTGAACTCAAGAGACTAAGAATTAAACTAAAGAGATATAGCCAAAGCTATCAAAATTCCAACAGAGTTGGCCCCTTAACACTAATTGACTGCGAAGCTATCAAGGGCCTAAAGTACAGCCGAGCGTAATAATAGCTTACGAGAGAGTAGCTTAAAAAGGCGGACTCATGCAGCCAGAATATCTGGTATCTCTCTCATTAAGACTGTAGAACTTTGTGGTTATATACCACTCTTCCTCATTAGCATTCAGACAGGATTCTAAAACTATGTTCTGACCGGAAGTGGTAAGTTGAAGTAAGAATTGATAGGAAAGGAAGTTTAACTCAATATTTAACTGTTAATAAAATTAACATAATGCAAACTAACAAAATAACAACTGCATATAGTAGCTACACGAAACAAAATCTGCAAGTTCAGTTTAGTAAATGTTAAATGAACAGGAATGAAATCCAACACAATCCTTTGTTAATTTTTAAGTGAGGTCATATTAAGAATCAAATGCACATGAAACTAGTTTCCGATATGTAAACCTGAAGGAAAGAATAATCCTTGTTTTAGCTACTATCACTGAAGAAATGTTTGAGAAATTGAATGCTGAATAGACATTCTCTACACACAAAAGAGTCCGACAATGAACTGGAATCATGTAAGGCAATATATAAAGACAGTTCAAGTCAAACTGGGATTTTTATTTTTCAGAAAAATCAAACGAAAAGAAATTGAAACATATTTCTTAATTTAATTTCCCTCTAGATGCACTTACCAATGCTTCAGTAATAAATCACTAGAAGCACAGAATGATTTTTCAATCAGCCAAAGCCATGAAATGGATTAATTAATTTACCTCAGCATCACTGCAGAAATGTTTTATCTCCAAGTGTTTCTTTAAGAGTCTAAAGAGGAAAAATTCCTTTGCACTGAGATCTGGACTTTAAAAGGTTTGCAGTAGTAACTTGAAACTGAACTAACTCATATGAGATACGAAATTATGCAATATGCTTGAAGAAGCAGAATGTCTTTGGTAATTAATTAAAGCTGCATTTTTCTGAGATATTATGGACATCGCAGACAATCAACAATGATGATATCATGATACAGAAAATTAACATTAATAATTCTATTTATGTTTAAAAATATTAAGAATGTCTTTGTGTAAATAAATTTCTTTACACATTTTTGGGTACTCTTCTGTTAACAGGATCGGATTCAAAAAGATTTACATGTGCAAAGAGGGAAAAAACATTCATTTTTTCCAAACAGTGAAAACGAATTTTTATGAAATGTTATATCGTGTTATTTAAAATTAATTCTTTTTTCAAGTTTTATGTAAAGTTTATGAATTAAATAATAAATTATTTTTACTTCTGTATTTTATTCACACAAATAATTTCTAGGTTAGAGTAGATTGAAGGGCGCTAAGTAGCCATTCCTAATGCTTCTACAAATTTGATGAGTGTTTTTTTAATCTAGGATGAAATGGTGCATCCAAACTTCATCATGGGTAAAAATTTGACCAATAAAAACACTGGCTCTTGAGTTAAAGTATTTCTACTGCAAATTACAGGTTTGCAATTTTCTTTGCATCTGTCGAACGCACTATGCTTACAGTTCTCAAAGAAAGATGTGGTCTGTTCCACAAATTGGGAACATGTTATCCATCTTCAAGTATTCAGATATTCAGCTTGTTAAATTTTCATCAGAGCAACTGCAAGAGGCTTCTGTTTGCTCGTCTAGGATCATCTTGCGCTGATGTATGCTTTTTTTTTAATACCATTTTGTATCAATCACATATTTTACTGTGACTAAGAGTCTCATCACTATATAGTGCTTAAGGCTTTCATTCATAAGATCCATTTTAGCAGATGTTCCATGTTTGCATTCATAAGCTTTTTCATTTCCTTTCTTTTTACAACTGAATTGTACTGCTTTATGGCATAAGCAACAGACTTCTCTTTCATGTAAGAAGGAATAACATATACTCAGGTATCTGTGTATACTCCCAAAATAAAGTACTAGTTTGACTTGAACTTCTGGCATACTTAAATTTCTTTGAGAGAAAAAAGCTCAGTTACTCTATTGCAGTGATTCAAATCTAAAGATCAAAACTTTTAGTTTTCAGCAATGGAACACAAAAATTTCTTCATTAAATAATAAATAACTGTTAAAATTTTTAAAAACTCATAGTGAGAATGGGGGCGGGGGCAATAGGTTTCATCAAATAGGAAAGCTAATAAACTTTTTTTTGCTAGAATTACGCATTACTATATTAAATAAGTGGAAAGAGACAGAAAAGTGTGTTCCACAAAAGCACTTGACAAGTATCTAGTAAGTTAAGATATACTGAATAAAATATCATGCAGGCTTTATAAAATGAATCAGAAAGCAGTTTTAAACTTACTGAAGCACATCACAGTCAGATACAAAAAATTACGAAATGTATTTACAAACATTTTTACAAAGAGGATTTTATCCACTTGAATGAAACAGTAAACTAATTTTGTTTTTCTTTTAAATTTTAGAATCACATTTCTAATAAAAAAAAATCTGCATATAAGGTAAATAGTCTTACTTTAAAAGACCCAAGAAAAGGTTGACATGTTACGGAAAGACCCACAAGTTTCTCTGGAGGTATATACAATACTGTGGATTCTTGTAACTGTAAGCCACGGCTTGTGTCATACAGAAATCCATTCATAAGTGTCTACAAAAAACACAAACATCACAAATTTATCATTGAACAAAATAAACAGAACATGTAAACACTGACACACTAAGTTTGGGTCACAGTATTTTTAAAAAAAAATAGTTATTTATCTACTTTCTCTGTATTAATTATTTACACCCCAGATTCCAAAGATTTGTGGGAAGCCATTTCAACCATTCTCATCTTCGTGCAAGTCAATACATTAATTATTCAGTCAATATATTACTTAAAAACTCTCAAAACACTAATTTTTGCATCCTGCAAGCTGCTTTTTTTGCTGAACTTCATTGCTGTTTGGCATGCTGCGTCAAAGTGCATATTGGTTGCAATTTTCAAACTGTCATCCATGTTTTCTAAATAGATGTAAAACGTTTTATGGAATCATGTGGCCCATTTATCCCTCCATCACTTTTTCTTTGTTTTTAAACAGTGATGTTTCTTATAAAATTTTCTTAAAAACTCAGTATTTATAAATTATTTTCTGTTTTTCATTTAAATATGAAATATCTCCACAAAAGGTGTTTAAAGGAGCTCTCACATGAAATTTTTTTTTAAGTGTATATAGAAATGATTTCATTCATATTGAAATGTTTTTACACATTTTCCTTTCGTGTGTACATAGAACTTATAAATTTTGCTTATAAATTATTAAATAAATATAACTAGTGGGTCACAGCCTGCTAGTTATATTTATTTACAATTTTCAACTACCTTTAAAATAAAATAAGGGGAGAGAATAAAATTATCATTCAGATAATTTCAACCCCATCTATTACTATATCAAGTCATGCACATGTAAAAATATTTAAAGACATATGATTATAAAATGAGGTAAAGAAAAATTATCACAGTAAACTCCACATACAAGGAAAAAATTTTAATATATAATAAGGTGTTGCATCTTTATTTTAGACACATAGATGCAAGCAACAGACAAAGAATATTTTACACAGATGGGTTAGAAGACAGAAGTTTAACAGCATCCCAGTTATTAAAATATTTTTTGACAAAGTCATAACAGGTACTGAAAAGTGGATATTATTGTTCCAAACTTGTTCCCAAACATTTAATGAAAAAGAAGCTGAAAACAAGCAGGTGAAATTGTAGAACTCATGACAACAGCTGCCTTTCAACTAATTAAAGTATTGCTTTCTATGTGCAGGAATAGCGGGAAAATCTTTTTTGCCAAGCTTCTCCAGATAAAACAGTCACAGTAAATAAGTACCACAAGCAACTTTTAAAACTTGGTCACTTAAAGGAAGTCTTTATCCATCGTGACAATACTAGACCATGTTGCCCAAGTGGTAGTTTAAAAATCATATGAACTCAAAAGTAAAATGCTTTAACAACCACCATCTTCTCCAGATCTTCTTGCTTCATTTATCCCAGTCTCTATAAACTACCTAAAAAGGCAAAATGTTTAATTTTGCCAAAGGTCTTAAGATTTTTTTTTTTTTTTTTTTAATTTTCTGAGCAGAAAAACCACAGAAGACTTCAGAATAAGAAATCTAAAATACTGGAAACAATGAAATTATTGGGAAAAAAATGGTGGTTATATTATAAAACATATTTAAAAACCTGTTTTCTTTTAGAGCCGATTTTATTTTCAAATTGGATATGAAATTTTATAATCATCCAATACTGTAAGTTATGTAGCTGGTTGGTTGGTACCATGATTGGCAGCAGCCAGGTATCCATAAATAAAAAAGTTAATGTAGTGAAACATGTATTGAAATTCTCACAGCTTATGAGACACTGGTGATGGTTTAGCATTAAAATACTATTTTGCAGTCAGAAACACATTAATGTTACACTTTCAAATTCAATCTTATTCTTTCAACAGTATCAAATTCCTGTAAACACTCTGTACAAATACAAGCTAAAACTCTAGATTTGGTTAGTTTAACTAACCATTTAAAAAAAACCCTGCATTTATTTAACAAAATGAATGTCATGGAAGATATTCCAAAGATAACTAGTATTTATGTAACATGTAAAAACAAAAAAAAATCTTACAGAAAATTTTGCAGCTATTTCACATGAAACCTAAATAAAAATAGTCATTCAAATGTTTTAAGTACTTGCCAAAAAAATTAACTTGAATAGACATGCACTTGAAAAAAAATTCCTCAACTGTATTCCCAGTATATCATGTACCAAAAGCTTATTAGTTTTAACCCTTTGCGGCACAGACAGTTCCGGTCTGGATACACCTAAAAATTTCCTTCTGTACGCACAGAAAAATTGAATGAAAAAGGATTTATAGGTTGCTATAGGTTACTCTGAACATTCTTTATTTATAGTAGATAGCAGCTCAAAACAAACCAGTCCATATATTTTAGCCCTGTTTAGTTTTTTAAGACCCTCATTTTTCAAAGAAATCTTCCAGATTTTTTTTTAGGGTATAAAAGGAATTGTTTGAAAAGAAATTTCTATGTTATTTTATTGGCTGTATGCTAATCTCTTTATTCTATATTAGTTTAAAATTTTTGCCTTGAAATCTTGCCTAAAATCAAACGGCGAACTCTAGGTGTGCCCAGACCAGGCTCACCGATAATCTAGGACAACTGAGAATCTGTATTCTTTGTTTCTTCGCATCTCATCGGTCAGTTCATTGACAACAATGCTCATTTCAGCACTCTTTTCGAAGCTCTATTCAATCAGTGTGCCCACAGAAATAAATGATAAGTGCTATCTTCACAAAATTTTACTTGTGTACTCCTCTAGTCCTCATTGGACCTTTTTTTTTTTTTTTTTTTTTTTTTTTTTTGTAATCAAAACTCTGACTTTAAAAGGTAATGTGCCAGAAAGGGTTAATTGCCAAAGCAAATAAATTAAGACTTAAAATCAAGATTTCCAGTACCAGCACTCCCTCAGGGCATAAAATAATATTTCAGAGAGTACGACAAACAGTGGCTTGTGTACTTGATTGAAAAGCTGCAAGTAAAATATGAATACATGTTAAATGTAAGCACTAACAAATATTTCCAAAAGGTATCAAAAGTAAATAATTAAAACCAAATTTAAATAAAATTATTTGAATGCAAATTAAAACAGGATCTGACAGAAACTTCCTCTATAAGCAATGGAAGTGAAATGCACAACAGATAAATAACATGCTCTTTCATTGCACAAAGAAAAAGAGCAGTGACACTTGCCATCTTCAATGCAACACTTCTTGTTATCAATGAATTCAAAAGATCATGTATCACCTCTAGATGCTATGTGACTGTGACCAAACTTCATCATTTCATTCTAAAAATGATATCAACTTTTTCAATTTATTCTTATTCACAAAAATTTTTTATATGTTTTAAAATATTTAAACTGTTTTCATATTTAACCCTACAATTTATTTCGTTCATTGAACTAAACATTACCACACTCTATTTGCTGAACCAAAGCAAATTAATACATACTTCATTTGAACTCAAAACTGAACAGTTTCATCCTGGGTTTGATCCCAGATAGAAAGATAGATTGTATGCATGGATGCTCTCACTATGTGTAACAAATATGAACCACCCAAAATGTTTCCTTGTGCTTCAATTAAAATAACAAATAAAATTAGCATAAAAATTTCAGCAGTAATTAAAAATTATAAGCCAAGCAAACAGTTTCATGTTGCTTTTTTTTTTTTTTTTTTTGAGAAATTCAGCAAAATCACTTAACAATGGATCATGCTTAATATAATTTTTAAATGAAATTTAAAACGCAGTATTTTCTGAATAATACACAAAATGAGGATTTCCTGAAAATGTGTTTTTGGAGACAGGTCATATTTTTTCAAAAAAGTAGTGAGTTTTAATTTATGATAATGGTGCTTTGGAATTTATTTGTTTAGCAAAAGTCAGAGGAGGAATACAAAGCATAAAGCTTTTGATAGAAGGTGCATTATTATTTTTACTAAGGTTCTGAATTCTCCATTAAAAATAGATGCAATTATTATATTATCACATAAATGATATTTTTTTTAATAGAAATTGGCAAAATTATTTAAATATACTGATAGTACTGCAGAAAATATTTTGAAAGCTTTGGAAAATATAAGCACTGAAATTATGTCATTGCATAAAATCCCCTGTCCCTCTCAGTAGTTTTAGGAAACTACCTACCCACTAAAAACAGAACTGAGTATATTTACTTTATTTCTATAATATTTGCTGTCAAAGTAAAAATTACCTATAAAGAATGTGCTACCCTTTTAAAACACAAACTATTACTAAAGGTAGAAGTGCCCAACAACATGCACTTCACTGATCTTTTAACATAGGCAGTTCTAATTTATAAGACTGGCAAATTCTTGCCAATTTTCATTTACATATAAAATAAATAACTTTAAATGTTATATTAAAAATATGTTAGATCAAAATATTTTACCTTTTTATGAGAATTATCACCATTATTCTGGATAGAAGGAACTAAGCTATGCCATTTACCACGATCTCGTTTCCATTCTTGAATGGGGTATAACTTGGGTTCATTTAATTCAGAAGCAATCTAATAAACAGAAGGAATTTAATTTAGTCGTTAGTTTAAAAGCAATTTAACATACAGAATACATCATGCTTAAATTTCCTTAACAATACAATGAATTGAAGATTAATACTTTAGCAGAAGTTGCTTACATTCCAGAAACTGCATTATAGAAGAATATATTTTTTTTACAAATAGACACGTTATATCACAGAAAGTGACCTGAGTGATCTAAATGAATGTTTCCCCCATAATTAATATTCAAATTAAATGTAAGCTCTTTTTTTATATGCATTAATACAAGATTTGCATACTTTTCAGAGGTTTTAATACTTTGTTTTAGTAAAGTTTCATGCAATAAAAAGCTTAAAATTAAAAACTTGAAGTAAAGCAACATTTACATAATTAAAATTTTTTTTATCTTTGGCAATGGCAAACTATTAAAATTTATTGAAAATAATATAAGACTATGGCAAATTTAGAAAGTTCACATTTACAAATCAAAGTTTAATATACTGAATGAATATATTTAGTGAAACATAAGACTATACAATGATGCTACAAAATGTTCAACAGATTCACAAATGTGGTTATATAGTACAAAGTCCGAGATCCAGATTCATCAGCATACTTCACCAATTCCAGAGTTTGGAAATTTTCCACATTTTAGACCATTAGCTTAAATCCAGTAAGAGGCCATGTAAAAATTATAGAATTAAAAGCATGAAATAGTTGTTTCTGAAATAATGAAGCATTTATGATTTTTTTTATTTTATTTGTTTATTTTATCAAATATTTCTTACAATGTAAATTGCTTAAGTTGTTTCAATTTTTGTGTTAATACTTTCTTTTTTTAAAATTTTATCGACAGTTATGATTTCTTGTTCAAATTTCCACTGTTCAAGTTCCATAACAGTGGTATTGACACTTCCCACTAAACTGTCATTTGAAACCTTTTCATTTTCAAAAACCTCTTAATTGCTTTCTTCACTGTTAGTGGTGATATATTTTATATTTAAAACAATACTGCAGATTTGGCTATTCGTTACTTTGACTGGAGGCACTGTTACCATGATGGAAAGCTTCTTTTATATCATCTTCATTTATTATCACTTCTTGATATTTCTTCATAAATTCCAGTAATTAATTTTGTCTTCCACAGCAGTCAAAATCTTAAAATAAGGCTGCTATTTTGGCTAATTCCAAAGAACTTTAGAGCACTTTTTAAAGCCCAATGTCCTTTTATCTCGCTAAGGCTATTAGCAATTATAGAAGGCAAATGCCAAATATGCTGTCACCTTGCAGACCCTGCTACTGCTCCAGAATTGGAAACTCCTTTTGGATTAACCAAAAATCTATGCTTTAATTTTGGTAAATGCTGTAACAATAATTGCTTGAAAAAATAATAAGCTATATCAAATAAGAAAACAAAGAAAGAATGCAATGAGAATCAGTATACGTAACATCCCACTCCAAACAAATATGTCTTCACTTACTGTTTAGACCAGATAGAAAACTTCACTTATTATTTAGATTAGACTGAAAAATATTAACCCCCCCTCCACAACTATTCAAGCTGGAAAAGCATGGTTTACAATGTACTGTCATTGCCTAGGGTGTGATTCCCTAGCAAGGAGGTGTTCGAAAGCATTAGATAACGACCTCAGCTAGATGGGAAAAAAGGGGGAATCCCTTTTACAGCAGATTCTTTTTTTTTATTATTATTATTTTTTTTTATTGCTTGTTGTCTGAAGGCTTAGTTCATTCCAGATATTGGATGTCTGGATGGACCTTGTACTATATTATGTACAGATAGCCCACACACAGCACGGCATCCTATAACATAGTTTTGGTCTAACACAATAGGAATATTGTCCAAAAACTAACAAACTCCACATTAAGTTTTTCCATATTGAGCAAAGCATAAGTCTTGCCACTGTTTTCCCAAGATCTGACTTCCACAAAAACAAATGTCCTCAGGGGGACGAGTTCCGCGGTGGAAAAAGACTTGAGTTCTTAACCGATAATGCAGGAAAATTATTTACCTCCACGAACTACAAAGTATAACATTAAAAAAAAAAAAAAAAAAAATACACAGTCTCAAGACAGCACAATCACAAGATAACAATAAAGAAACCTCCCTATCACAGAAGGTGAACAACATGAGGTCACAAGAGCTCCAAAACACACAAACTGCAAGTTCGGCTTCTAGCATTCGAATCCTCATCTCTGTGGCCTGAAAACATATGTGTCTCGCACTGCTGGTCGGTAGTCTGTGTTGAGCCGTAGTGTGTTAAAGAATAACTTTTTCATCTTTAAGACATTAAGTTTAAATCCCAAGCCATATCCGATAAAATAAATAAACAACGTTTAAGAGGAAATTTATTTCTTTACAAATAAAGATACAAATCTTGGATCATCTTTTAAAAGGAGAAAAAGCATCTCACATTGGAAAAAGTCTTAATTTGAATGAAGCAACAGTCATGACTATTAAGAAAAATGCAGGATCTTCAACATCTGCAATATGTGCAGCTCGCCCCTGGGCACAAATAATTGAGAAGATGGAAAAGGCACTTAGCATTTGGATTGATGATAGCTGTCAAAAAAGAATTCCATTGGATAGTAATATCATTAAAAACAGCACTCAAAATTTACATACACTTTAAAGAACGTTAAGAATTCTCTGTCAACCCAGATTATGGGCCAAAATGTTGGCTCGAAAATTTCAAAAAGCATTTTGCAATTCAAGGAGAATCACACTGGCTGATCATGAAGCTAAGACATACTCAGAAAAAAATTAAAAACTTTATAGAAAAGCATGGATACACAGCAGATGAAGTTTTCAACGCCAATGAAACTGGACTTTGGTGAAAGAAAATGCCCAGCAGAACCTTTATATTGAAAAAAGAAAAATCCAGATTTAAGGTGTCTAAACACTACTTTTGTGCAATAATGCATTGGGGACTTTATGACAAAACCCTTGCTAGCTTATACATCATTAAATCCTCATGCACTTAAAGGCATAAATAAAAACACCTTAGCAGTATACTGGAAAGCGAATCTAACAGCTTAGGTAACTGGGATTTTTTTAATGATGGTTTTTAAATTGTTTTCTGCCAAACATTGAACATTATTTAAGGCAGAAAAATTTGAGCTTCAAGACACTATTATTACTACAGTCAAAAGTCGTTAATCCGGACACGTCAGGACTCCAGCGATTTCGGATTATAGATCATCAGTTTAAATCTGGTAAGATGGCATGCAGAAATTATAAAATTAAAAATATGAAACCGTAATTTATGAAATGAAGAACAATTATGATCTAAAGGGTATCAAAATTTACAAAAAAAAAAAAAAAAAAAAAAAGCTTAATATTTATTTGTTTACTTTATTAAGCATTTCTTTCAATGTAAGTTGTTTAAGTTGCTTCGTTTTTTATGACATAATACATTCTTTTTAATTCTATAAACAGACATAATTTCTTGTTCAGTTACAAAGTTTCGCTGTTCAAGTACTATAATTGTTGTGTTGAGAATGCCAACTAATTTGTCAATCGAAATTTTTTCGTTTTCAATAACCTCTGTCACTTTCTTCGCTATCGGAAGTGAATTATAATGACGAGGAATTTGATTTAAATCATATCAAAGACGGAGTGCATCGAGATGAAATACTACATTTAGTAAGGAATTATAAGCCACATAAAATAAAAACATCTGCCCTGAAGATAAGGATAGTGCTGACAGATCAACTTCCAATTCATTGTGCGCCCCCTGCGTTAAAGATAAACAAAGTTTAGATAAACAAACGTTAAAGTTTAGATAAACAAAGGATATGCCTTTATCCATTTTTGCAACAATTCCACTTTTTGTTTAATGGACTTCGAAACATACTTTTGCTTTGTAGATCTTTTACGTATTAGTAAATATATATCAGAAATTCTATTTGACATAATCGAAAGTTCAAGCTTACTTTTATTAAAATTGCTCTAACAGTCTGCAAAAAATAATAAGCCAAATCCAATTCGAAGATTAAGGAACAACGCAATCTGCAACATTAACTGAATTAGATAATTTTAGCTTAGCTTATACCATCCGTTATACATTAAACGCGCATTCGTAAACGTATTTTGCGCACGCGCAAACGCATATTCACAGCCGTAAAGGTCTTACGTAAGGTTACGTCATCGTGACGCATGTGCAGAAAGTTTGTAGCTTTGAGGTCTGAATTATAGATCATTCCGGATTATGGGTGTCCGAATTAACGACTTTTGACTGTATTAGATAATGCTCCATCTCACACACAAGATTTGAATCATCCCAACATCAAAATACTATTCCTTCCACCTAACACTACTTCATTGCTCCAACCATTGGACAGAGATATTATATATACCTTTAAAATATATTAAATAAAAAGAGCATTACAGACATTCAGAATCAATTAATGTAATAAAAGCTTAAAAGAAATTTTCAATCAAGTACTGTATCAACAGGTGTAGATATGTACAAGCATAGTACAAGTACAAGTGTAGATCTTTGTCACTGAAAGAACTGAAAACAGCAATGTTAAATGTGTGTTGGAAGACGACATGGCTCTCTTTAGTTGAAATAGGAAATGTGCATGAATCATCATCAGATGAAATTGATAACATTAGAATTTGCTAAATCAGTGGAGGTGAAGGTTTTGTGGATATAGCTATTGAGAATGTTGAAGATATATTAGTGGAAGATGCTGATGATGAAGTGGATTTGGTCGAAAATGCGTCCGAAGTTGTAAATCAAATAGATTCTGAGGACATTAGCACTGATGAAGATTATAGCTGAAAATCTCAAGTAATTTTTCATTAAGACAGACTGTCAAACTCCATTTACTAATCTGCAGTTACCAGGGAAGAATCAGCAGCAAGCAAAGTAAAATTACTTATTTTTCAAAGAGGGAAGAACTTTAAATGATGAAAGTTCTGAAAGTGAAGGCAATATCTTTCCAACAAACAAAATAAATAAATAAATAAATAAATAAAATAAAATAAAAAATTCTTGATTGATTATAATTAGCAGTGACAATGAAGATATTTATAAAATGAAAGTTACACTAAATTAAAATTATATATATATTTACTTTGTGTTGTACATATATTTTTAATAAAAATTAAGTTTTTACTTAGAATTTAAAAAAAAAATTGTACTTAGTAAGTTTCTGGAACGTAACCCCACTTACTGGCTCTTACATCATACAACACGCCATTTCTAGGAACTCACCTATCGTTTTACACCAGGGTTACCTTTACAGTATTTATCCTATACAGCATTTCATTTATTCAACACAGATGTTGTCCTCCTTTTAGATATTGAAATACAAAATAACAGTTGTTAAGCACAAAAAATTATTACATTATTCAGAAAACAAATTATATATAATTACCAATGAAAGAGCTTCACGAGATGCAACTTCTTGCACAGCAACTAAACTGAAACTAAAATATGCTTATATAAGTATATAAAAAAAATTACAAGTTAATTATTTATAAAAACATTTTGCAAGAGGAAATATATTTATAATATATAAGGAAGCTTTTGTAAGCCAAATTTTGGAATTTAGCTAGGCACAATTAGATAAATAACCATCTTTTAATAGATATATCAGAATACATTCTACTTCAAAATAAGTTCTCTGATATTACTTACATACAAAATATAAATCTTAAGACAGAATTTATTTTACCATTCATAAACTATTTTATAAATATAAACATATTTTCGTCTATATTATCTTATGAAAGGGAAAAACTATCTTTGGTTAAAAACACTCATAAATTCAATTAATTTGGTAAACTATTTAAATCATCCTATGCCATCTTTTAGATTCATTAGAAAACTACTGGTTTGAAAATTGCAGAATGTTTAGATAATTTTTTTTTTTCCTCAAAGAGCTAAATACAGTTTACATTTTCTGAATTAATATGGTCTAAATATATGCACAAAACTGAAAATGAAAATATAGCTTTTCCCATTGCAAACAATGAACTGTAGGAATACACAATAATAGGGAGAAAGAGAAAGACACAAATACATTGTGGAATGTATCTAGCATACAGACTCAGCTCCAACATTTTCGCACACTAACAATCCGTATGCTTGACATCCCATAAAAATTAAATACACATACAGTCAAAAGTCGTTCATCCGGACTCATCGGGACTTCGGCGATTCCGTATTATCGATTTTTCCGGATTATAGATCATCAGTTTAAATCTCGTAAGATGGCATGCAGAAATTCTAAAATTAAAAATATGAAACCGTAATTTATGAAATAAAGAACAATTATGATCTAAAGAGTATCAAAATTTACAAAAAAAAAAAAAGCTTAATATTTAGTTGTTTACTTTATTAAACATTTCTTTCATTGTAAGTTGTTTAAGTCGCTTCGTTTTATGTGACAATACTTTCTCTTTAATTCTATAAACAGACATAATTTCTTGTTCAGTTACAAAGTTCCGCTGTTCAAGTCTTGTAATTGCTGTGCCGAGAATACTGACTAACTTGTCAATCGAAATTTTTTGGTTTTCACTAACCTCTCTGTCACCTTCTTCATGTCTTTATCCATTTTTAGCAGCAGTTCCACTTTTTATTTGATGGATATCGAAACATACTTTCATTTTGTAGATCCTTTGGGAGCTCCAGCATCGGAAATTATATTTGACATAATCAAAAGTTCAAGTTTACTTTTATAAAATTGCTCTTACAGTCTGCAAAAAATAATAAGCCGCATCCAAATCGAAGATTAAGGAAGAACGCAATCATCAACATTAACGGAAATAGATAATTTTAGCCTATACCGTCCGTTATACGTTAAACGTGCAGGCGAAAACTTATTTTGCGCTTGCGCAGATGCATATGCGCAGTCATAAAGGTCTTACGCGCACGCGTAAAACGCCTGTGCGCATGTGTCAACGCGGCGCATGCGCAGAAAGTTTTTAGCTTTGAGGTCCGGATTATGGGTGTCCGAATTAACGACTTTTGACTGTATTAATAATTCAAAGCAAAATATACCTTTATAGAGTTATCACTTGCAAGAACATTTTTGATGCCTACGCTTGGACCTGACCATGTCAAGCAAAGATAAAAATACTTTTTTAAATAAACTTCTAAATAATTCTCTTATTTAGGACAGTTTTTTAGCTGTCTTTTTTTTAAATAAATTTCCTACTATTTAAAAACACACATGAATAACCCATTTAGACAAACAGCTGCCTTATAATGTGACTGTTGAGTTCCTTAAATGTTGGTTTCATATTGCCCAAAAATTTTCATATTATAGAACAAAAAATTTAGTAAAAAAAGACAATAAGAAAATTTCAGATTATAATTTAATAGTTCAATAAAAAGCTTCAATTTATAAAACTTACAACATGTTACAATAAAAATTATAAATATTAAATACTATATACATTATATATTTTCTTCTCTTCTTAAATATAAATACAACTGCCTAATCATAAAACTAAATCTTTACTATTGAACAACATTTTTAATTTTAAAATTGAATGTAAAATACTATAAATGAAAAAATATCAAAATATTAATATTGTGTATTAATCTTTTAAAAATGTTTTTACATAAAACTGCTGTTAACTGCAATTTTAATGAAGTACAACAGAAAAATTGAAAACAAAAATATACTATATCTAAGAGTTTCCTTGATCTGATAAAATACACTACCATGAATTTTTTACATTATTTTATGAAAAAATCGTCAGAAAAAAAATAACCTTTATGTAATATTTCTCTAGCAGTGAAAGTATAAGAACATGCATAATAAGATAAAAAAAACTCGGAACTTTTTTCTTAATGTGAAATAACAAAGTTATTTTTTGTAAAACTGTTCAAAACGTGTTTTGTCCTTTTTGTTCATGCAGAGACCAACACTGCATGTTTAATACAGGTATCTTGTTCTGTGAGGTTTCTTTCTTGTGCTACAAAATGTACACTGCAGGGATTTGCATTTTACTGGTATATGTTCTGCATTCTTTAGTTTCTTTTTGTTTGGCACATGAAGTTCGTGGTTTTTTATGTTAATACCAGGCTTGGTCTTTTCCCCTTCGGTACGGATCCTTTCTTTCCCATTTATATGATACTGCTGATTATACCCACTCAGAATAACTTGAGTATTTTTAAATTGGGATCACTTTCTAGAAGCGGTTGATATATAATGAAAGTATTTATGATGGCGACATCAACAATATGACATATATTCAATGTCACCCTGTTTTACTTTTTCAGTCAATTTCACATAAGCTTTTAAATTGGTCAAATAAGTCCACATAATCCATATTTTTATTATAATCTATAACTGCCTTTGGACAATGTATCTAAACTTTCTGTCCTTCCTAACCCCCCACCTTTCTACCATAGATGGAATAATAGGATAGACTCGGGTAGACAAAATGGTAATGTAATCTTTTCTAATGTAATCTTTTGTCCATTTTAGACAAGCTTTTTTTTTGTTTCCATTTACTGCCCAGTCAAAGTAAACCTGTTTCATTTCTTATCATCATTAGCGTTTCGGGGGCGTTCCACAACAAAATACATTTTTCGTATCTAAAACCTTGAAAAGTTCACAAGATGTAAAACAGTTGTCCACGTACACCTTATAATGATTTTTACCATGCAAGGGTTCACCTAGCATTTTTAATTCAGATTTTTTTGACTTCCTGGGTTTTACAATATAAATTTTAAATTTACAAGTATAGACACTTTCATCGCAATTCATCCACACTATATATCTGTTTTTTATTGTTTCTTTTGGCAAGTATTGAAACAAACTAATTGAGTTCCCCCCCCCTGGTGTAATCATTCCAACAAAGGTCGATGTATACATGGATACAGAGTTTGTTCAATTCTTTGTCTTGTTATTTTTCGCACAAAAATCACAGCTGCACAAGCCAAAATAACAAGTCTAAGAATTGCACAAACTCGGTATCCATGTGCTGCCAAAATTTGTTATGGGGTACCCGTAAATATATTTTTACCGGCATCCGATCTGAAGTGCTAAGACCTCAAAAATGTATCGTGCATCAGTCATTTTGTGTTAGGCAGAGGTAAAAGATAAGCAACCAATTGGTTTTCATTAAGAATTTTTAGAAAGAAGAAGGGGGAAAATTAAAATTGTCAGTCAAAATTTTCAGAGTGTGACCATTGTGCGTCAATGGGTTAAATTAAACATGGACACTTAAAGCACAAAACAGTTTAAATTCTGGAAGAAAAAAAAAAAAATGAGAATTGGAAGCAGTGTTGTAGCTAAAATTTTTGCCACCTGAGGCATGATTATGGTAAATTTGTAAAGGCTTATATAAAAATATATAATCTCAATAAACTACATTTTAAATCAAATAAATATTTGCCACCTCTTTTGACACGCACACACCACAAAAAAAAAAAAAAAAAAAAAAAAAAAAAAAAACCCTACAGATAATGTCAAAACAAGTGTTAGGAAAATAAATCAAAACCACGTTTATTTTTGATGAAAAATTTTAATTTCAACACTTTAAAATTATATTATTATTATTTTTTGTTGTTATTTTGTTTTTGTATGCTGACAGTTGCTGTTATGCAGACGTAATTGAAAGACTTCTTAAATGCAAAATAAATAAATAAATAAATGCATTTGCAGTTCTTAAATGATTATTATTTCGAAAAAAAACTTCTCACAACTAGCAATACTTAAGCAATTGAGAGGAAAGATCACACTAGTATTAAAATATCTGGAAATTTTGTAATAAGCTGCAAAAATTCAAAAGAATTGCCCTTTTACACTTCTGTTTTGATATCTCTAGGAATGACGGAAATAAAATTCTGAAATATTTTTTCCTCAATGAAGAATTTTTCCTTGCAAATGTCATCATGAAAATAATTTAGTTCATATTCGTAATTTGCATTCAAAAGTTTTTGATGGAACAAAAATTGGATAACAAATGCAGGTAGCTGTTGAAATCACAAGATAATTTCTTTAAATACTTTATCTAGAGCAAAAATGTTTTCTCTCTGAATGAATTCCAAATGGCAATTTAGAATCCAATTATTCTTCACCTGTTACGATGATTCTTCTAACCAGTGCAGGATTTACGTATAAGCTGCACAAGCTATAATTTAGGGGCCCCAAAAATTAAAATATAATATAAATACAGTATTAAAAAATATATAACATACTTGCCCCATATCTTAAATAGCTTAGGCCATTATCAAGTCTAACTCCAGCTCTGCTTCTAACTCAAATAATATAATATAAATATAGTATTAAAAGATAGTATAACAGACTTGTCCCATATCTTAAATAGCTTAGGGCATTATCAAGTCTAACTCCCGCTCGGCTTCTAATTCACATAAAATAATATTTTAGGCAAATAATAATGCCATCACCTAGGGCACCCTTCTGGTTGGTTACGCCACTGATTGAAACAAACAGAAACAAAAATTCTAGATTTACTTGTTAAAACCTGGTGACAATACTAAATCAGCAGAAATAAAAACAGAAATTTTGCTGCATTTTCTGGTGAAGAAATGCTACAGAAGTTAAATACTTTAGATTTAAAAGAAGATGAAAAATATATTGATAAGATAATTACAGTTTTCAAAAATTATTATACACCAAAGCAAATGAAAACATACATTGGTATCACTTTTTCTCTTGAATGCTACAAATTGGTGAATCATTGATGATTTGAGAATTAAAGAAATTAAGTAGTAATTGCGAGTCTGCAGAATTAAAAGGTAGTTTAATTAGGGATAGACTAATTAAAGGAATTTAAAATTTAAAAAATTTAAAGACAGACTATTGCAGAAAGATCAGTGAACATGGAAGAAATGTTTTAGCATGTCTAAAGCTGTTTGTTGAATTACCAGAAGTTCAGCTGAAAACTTTTAATTTCAATAAATAAAATAGAAGTGATAAAATGGAATAAAATTTCACAATCAAGAAGAAAATCAGTCATGTAACAAAAATTATCATGTTACATAAAAGCCACAAAATGCTTGCTCATCTTCAAATTGTCAAGGAAATAAGTTCAGTAATACAATATCATGAAGAAAACATGAAACTTGTCTCAAGCTGTATATGATGTATTTATGTTATTATGTAAAAAAATTATTTCACTAAAATGCTTACTAATAAAAATATTAAAATTGCATAGATAACCTGCTACATCTGGAACATGAATCACATAATAATAATAAATATATTTTAGGATGCAAAAAATAAAAAATCCATTATTTAAAAGAGGAAAGACGGATGAAAAAAATGTAATCAGAGAGATAACTATTAATTTTCATCCTTTCCTTTGGAAAAGAAAAAGTCACTGAAATGAATTTTACTACTTATTTTTTTTTATTCTACTAAAATTATAATACAAAAATATATTAAATTAAAAAAAAATATTCTGAAATGTGATATTTTCAGGAGATTCTAGACATCAGTTTTCCTCTTTCTGTTTATTTGGGGGGGGGGGAAGAGGGAGCTATGGCAAAGATGGGTAAGCTATGGCAAAGATGGGTAAGAAAAATTTTGATCATAATTAAATTCTTGCTTAGACATTTTCTTCCCAGGGTGAAGTGCAGAATCGTCCACTTATTTGGCACTTTTTACAAGAGTAGAAGAATTGGATTTCTGTCAATTTCCTTTAACTTTTTATGTGAAAATACATCAATGTGTACATGGACAAAGTCAAGGGAGTGCACAATGGCGAATTTGTGCAATTCTCTGTTGTTTTTTTGAGTGAAAATAGATCGATGTGTACTTGGATACCAAGTTTGTGCAATTCTTAAAAATGTGCCAAGCAGTGGGTGATTCTGCACTTTCTCCCTCTTCCCATTTAAAAATTAATTATCTTTCTCTAGTTTACTATATATGCAGGCAAGTTGGATAGTTTATCACAGAAATGCATTTGAAAGTCAGCTGTTCTGTGATGGATTTAAATGATAGAAAGCCCATATCACTTAAAATATTTTAGGGCTCCTTTGTCTTGAGACACACTGCATGCTTACTTTTTTTTCAAAATTATTATTAAAGCAGGGCCCCTCACAACTAAGACAAGCATGAACCCAGAAATTCACCTCTTTATCTGTCACAAAAACAGTCATTTGAAAGCATTTTCTAAAGAAAACTAGTGTACATTTCATATTATCCATGGGAAAAATTACCATACCATTTAATTATTTTATTTTTGCTGATTAAAATTACATAATTTATATTCAACTATACACAGATGGAAAAGTATCACAAAATCAGAAATAAGATAAAGAATGAATTAAACAATTTACTGAAACAGTAATTTAGTAGCAATTATCATGGGTTTTCATTATTAACTACAGATTCATTACATATGTATTTTGTTTTCATTCAACTATATTACCTATATCAGCAATAAAACATTTTTATTAATTGTTATCACCATAACATTTCAGTAAGCTTTAAATGATTTAAATTGTTGCAGCTAGATTAAGATGTTCTAAAAAAATCAAAATTAAAATTAGGGTAACAACCTAAAAGTCTTTTCAAGCTTTCAGAAATAAATCCTTCTCATTTATGAATACACATTTATTTTATTATATATAGAATTATAAAAAAATACAGGTACATTTATTACAACAATTTAAATTTCAATAACTGTAAAAATATATTTAGTTTGTATGGCATTTGTTCATATTCGAAACTTGACAAATTACTCATGTAAAATCACAGAAACGAATATAAAAGAATAAAAACTGAAGAAATTTTGTAATTCAAGAATATGCTTTGTTTACTGTTGAAGCATAAATGATTCACATAATTATATAAATCATAGGTTAATATGTACTTACCCATTTTCCAAAATAGTTCTACACATGACTTCTTGAACACCAGGATTTTTGGCTTTTTCCACCACAAATTCTTGCAAATTCCAGGAGGCTAACCTTAAAACTTGTCGTCCTATGTAATTAAAATTAAAAACTTCACTTACAGGAGGCCTTGTTACAAGAGAGGAGACTAGTTCATAGAAGTCTTTTGTACTAGGGTCACAGGAACGTGTTTTCTCTAACCCACTTGGAGCAGAGTTTGTTCTGCGATGGCCAACTGGACGTCGACCGTATACACAATTTTGAGATATTTTGCTATTTAAAGATGAAGAATAATTTACTTTTGATGAATCTACAGTAAGATACATTTTTACAATTGCTAATCTGTCTGGAGGTAGTCCTTTCACTTTGGATAAATCATCTAAAGTTTTAAAAGGGCCTTTACGCTCTCTGTAGTGCACAATATTTGCAGCCATCTCTTGAGTCATACGGCAAACACTCATTAATTGAAAGACATTCGCGGTATTTACATTCACAAGTTTAGAAGGTGAGGAACGTGCACCTATTTCATTTGTTGTTAATGACTCTAATGATTGTGTTACGGAAGAGTTGTAGCTTCCATTGCCTTTACGGCGTGCAACACAGATTTCAGTCCTAAACTGTTCTAGTTTAGTAGCACCTACTCCAGACACCAAAGCTAAATCTTCTACTTTTTTAAATCCACCAATTCTTTGGCGATACTCGACTATATTTTCTGCAGTAACACGATTGATTCCAGGCAAAGTCATCAATTGCTCTTCCGTGGCACTATTTATATTCAACAAATCCCATCTCTGATCGGAATCCAAAACATGAAAAGTGGCACTTAAATTACCATTCTTAGAACGGTAAAAACGCTTTGTAGATCCTTCGCGCATTAGTGACAATTTTCGATTCGGGACGCTAATGCACTGTCCCATGATCAAGTGACTCAGCTCAGGTTATGTGACAACAGATGCTCGCAGCATTTTCCGTTCTGTAAAGAAAAATCATAATTAGTAAGATAATTATACAGTGATATATGAAAGTGAAAAATCAATACTACATTGATTAAAATAAGGAGGTATTAAAAACTAAGCAAAATTAAGAATAAACAAAGTAGACGCAATGAGAAATTTAAGACTAATAAATTAAAAGCCATCTGCATATATAATAACAAACTCTAATATATCAATATAAGTTATTACGGGATTTAAATGTATAAGCTTATGCTCCGATTATTTTATTATTAAGGAAAATCTGTTCGTACTTGACATAAACGGGACACGTTAAACTCCATGCTATTACAATTAGCATCCTTTATATAAATATGTCATATGCAGGAAAAAATGGGCACAGCACAATCATTAAAATTACGAAAACAAGGCACTGCAACAGCCAAATTTTCTTCCATAATATGAAATTTTGAATTACACGGAAGAGCAACCAACTTTCCCTTCCTAAAATACAACTACCACTGACAGGCGCTGGCGCAGCTCATAACAGCAATTCCAACCCTTGCCATGACCCCAAACTGCAGAAGCGCCATCTGTTCATTGACAATTTAAAGATAAAACACTCAGCATTGTCGTCAGAAATTGCAGTTGTTGGAAGTGAAGGTATTTTTGTACGACAGACAATATTTTGCGGATAAAATTTTGGACATCTTTTTATCCAACACGAATGTTTTGGGACATTTGACTTATATATTTGACTAATGATCCTAACAGTATACGCAAGAAAATTTATTGCTCATCGAGAAAGCTAATATAATGATTCTATAATACTTCCTGCTGAAATAACAGGTTCGAATTTTATTCTACAAGAAGAAAAACTTATTTAAGTTTTGGACTCATTCTTTATAAATAATAATGATGATTCAAAAAATCTGAATTAACATTTTTACGAGCCCAAAAGGGCTGTTAGTCACGAAACACGATTTTGCTTTGTCTCACTTTTCATTTGAGTCTGTTGTCCTTCGGAAAAACATAAGATATAATCCTTTCATATTTAATCTGTCTGTCATTAATTAACAAACAAAAATTTTAAAGCAATACATGCATTTCCTAAGAATATTATACTTTTACTTTTTAATCTGATTAATTTAAATGAAAATGCATTTAATTCATGATATATCTAATTAAAAACATTAAATATTTTTATAGAATTACACTACATATTTTTTCATTTTTTAAACATACAGAAGATATATAACGATCCCATGTTAGTCAAAATGCGTATTCATCTAATTTCCTATAAAACGTTTCGCTTCTCTGTCGATAATCTCTACTAATAAATTAAATTAAACTTTAATACAGTCCTTTTAAAATAAAAATTATATATATATACGTAAAAAAAGATTTTTAATATTTATGTTATCTACATTATATGCACTCTAATTCAGTCCTATTTATTATGATTTGGTTGATCTGAATCGGAATAGTCAAATAATTTCTGTACTCGAAAATTATTATACATTAGAAAAAGATTTTTCTTAAATTTTTTTCTTTAGATATTGAGCCATAACTTACATTTTCAATTAAAACAATTCCAAAACTTCTTCAGTGAGTAAGTGAATTTTATGAAAGAAATCTTATCGATTAGAAAAATACTGTGTGTGGGGGAGGGATGAAACGAAAAGAGAGTGTGAGAGAATAAAAATATTGGAAAATAAATAAATAAAAAAGGAAAAATTACAATCTCAAAATTTTAAATGATAGTTTTAAAGATGAGGTAACATTAAAAATTTCAAAAAATATTTAAAAATGAGAAGAAAAAATTGAAAATGCAAAATATTACAAAATAATAAGAAAAGAAAGAAAGAAAATCTGAAAAGATGCAGTTTTTAACATCGCATCGCAGGATTTATCGCAGGTTAGCAATCTGCTCTTGGATTCAATCCTGCTAATACAAATTTTTTTCATTTAATTTTATTATTAAGAATCGTTTTCCTCTAACTTAACTACATCGCATAAAATTCAAGAGCAAAATCACAAAATGTTTAAAAACAGCATATCTTTAGAATATCCGATAGAGTATTAGAGGTTGCCGTACATATTGTTATATTCACTACATTATTTCTTTGAAAACTAGCCGCTGGAGCGACCAGCCGCCTAAAATTGTCATCATAAAAAAGAAATGTATATAAAATTATTTTAATGAGTCCAACTAGTGTCATTTCATAAAAATATTTAATACTTCTAATTAAGAATCTCCTCATTTAAAACAGTCATATTAAAATGTAGAAAAAATATTTTGAATAACTGCATATATTGCTTTTCAATCACTTAAATTGCTATTAATTGCTTTCAGTTACTCAACAGAAAGACTAAATTTGAATGTTAAGATAAAAAACGAAATTGAAATTCAAAATTCGGTCTTCTGAGGTCCCTATATTCGGGTAGAGGACTATGTGTATTAAAAATTCAGTGGATGAACCGCAGTTTTTCCTTTTTTTTTTTTTTTTTTCCTAAAATAATACATTGCGATAACATTTAGTAGCAACAATTTGAGAAATCGTTCGAACACAAAAGTAATACGGACAAAAAGTGAGTTCCGATACTAATAGCACCTCTAGTTCTAAAAAAGAAAATAATGTTGTACTAGTTAGTTCACGCTGCCATTTTTATAGTTATATCCTAATCATAAAAATACTAGTTGGATGCATTTCAATTAAGCGTCTCTTAATTTATGTCAATGCTATATGCATTATTAAAAACGCAAAATAAAAATTTGAATTTTAAAAAAATTGCATTTATGGTTTCTAAATGCTAGTAGTTTTTAATTAACCGACTAATTAAATTTGAAAGATCGATTACAGATCTTATACTTTTCTTAAAGGTAACATTATGAGAATCAACTATGCACGAAGATGCATGGAAGATAAGTTAAAAGTCTATATGCTTCACTTTCCGGCAAATACTTGTCAAAGAACGTGAAGAGTATACATTGTTTTTACATTTTTACATTCTTCGTCGGTCAGTTTCGAAGATTTGATCATGCTGCGGATTTTACTTTTCCAGAATATGAGTTTACAGGTTAACTGAAAAAAATAACGCCAAAGTGTTGAATAAAATTAAGCTTTGCAAATGGTGATCATTTAGTAACAGTTTATTTTAATAAATTATTTGCTACACTTTAATTTATTAGAAGAAAAATATTCTACACTTTTACATGGAAAATTCGTGTACATATTTAAGAGCAAATATTTTCCCACGCCTTTTACCAAGAAATATTACGGGATCAAGTTTCGTTTTGTGTAACAAATTCATAACTGCCATTTCGAAAATATTTATTAAGCATATCTTAACTCAATTACTTAGAGCAACTCGGGTTTTCATCCCAGAAAACTATTACTCAGTTTCCCCAAGAAACACATTAACATCAATGATAGAATTCTTTTAAGAAAATTCGGGTGCCCTCGTTTTTCCCCATTGCTTATATTTTGGAGGCATATATCTACAAGGTCAATATTTAGAAAGTGAACCCCGCAGCCTTCTGTAAGAAGTGTGCATCTATATGCTAACAATATACATCTTTATTAGAAATTCTAGCAACAGAAGAAGACAGATAACTATTTCTTCAGTGAGGATTGTTCTTTAGCCATATATTACAGAATTGTATTAATTCAAATATAGTGCAGGAATTAAAGCCTTTCACTGAAATCATTCCAAATTCTGCAAGTTAAATTAATCAGTGGTATTTTAGCTGCCAATCAGACAAACTGAATTAAGTAAATTGTTTGTTAAATCTAAAATACGACTTCTTTGTAGTAATACTTATTTCCTTGTACCTCTGGCGCTTTAACGAATACGTAACTGTATTTCGTTTAGAATATTTCAGTCATCTGAAAATACAATAGAAATGTTACGTAAAATCAAAAATTCATTCATACAGCTTTCTTCTTTTTCAGCTGAGATCAAAATCGGTGCACGGGAGTGATGACAGACAAGTTAGCAATAAACCATAGAAACAAAGGATTTCTTGTCCTAATTTCGTTTTATGCCTAACAAACAGGGCAACTTTATATACCTGAGGAATTTTTGTGGCAAAATGTTTTAGCCCAAAGGGGTATTTGCCCAGAAGGGTTATTAATTTCATTTTGGCATTTTGCGTTAATTCACTATAAACGGCGAATCACATTTTTAAGGGTTGCACCAGATATTAGAGTCCTGTGTTATATTTAAAGAAATTAAATAATGAAGAATCTGTATAAATGTTTGTATGTTTCTCGCATTGTGATCAAACAACGGTATCTAGAGTCATCAAAATTTGAATAACGTATGTCTTCACCCGAATATGAGCATATGGAAGCCCAAGTTTAGAATTTGGAGTTTGTTTTATTATCTATTTCATATTTTGTAAAGCATTTATCATTTTTTGATTAAGAAACTCAACGATTTCAAAGTGAGCAATGGCAACACCATATGGAATTTTTTTTTTTTTTTTTTTTTTTTTTTTATATCTCCAGTGGGCGAGACTGCGTATCGGAAATTCTAAAGATGTGCTCTTTTAAATACTTTGTGATATTGATATTGAATTGAATTTTATGGTTTACGTGCGAAGAACATGGTATTAAATAAATAAAGGTAACACACAAAAAGTAAAATCAAAACTTTTGGGCTTAATATAAAAATCTGAAAGCTTTCTCTTCTTTCTTTTTTTAAATTATTTTATTATTATTATTTTTTTTTTTTTTTAAAGAATCATTTTACGCTAAAAGTGAAATATAGATAGGTCATCTTTAAAAGACATTTTATTGGGAAGATAATATTGTTTATAATTTTTTTTAATGTGAACTTCTACAAAATTCAAATAATTCTGAAAGAAGAGATTTCCTGTAAAGTTTAGTCTAAACATTAGCTTTAGCAAAACACAAATGCAATCACTTTCGCAGATAATATTGTTAACTTAGTATTCAATACATCACTTGCAGTTTTACGCCAGTTTATTTCTTAAAAATACAATGAGTACAAAATGGCGAACTTTCGAACTGAG